GCGCGTGCGCGTGCGCGTGCGCGTGCGCTTGCGCGTGCGCGTGCGCGTGCGCGTGCGCGTGGGCGTGTGCGTGTGCGTGTGTGTTTTCGTGCGCGTGTGCGTGTGCGTGTGCGTGCGCGTGCGCGTGTGCGCGTGCGCGTGCGCGTGCGTGCGTGCGTGCGTGCGTGCGTGGGTGGGTGGGTGGGTGTGTTTGGGTGTGTGTGTGTGTGTGCGTGCGTGCGTGCGTGCGTGCGGCGTGCGTGCGTGCGTGCGTGCGTTGCAGTGGTGTGTGTGTTGGTGCGTGGGTGGGTGGGTGGGTGCGTGGGTGGGTGGGTGGGTGGGTGGGTGGGTGGGTGGGTGTGTGTGTGTGTGTGTGTGTGTGCAAGTGCGCGCGCGCAAGCACGTGCGCGCGCGCATGCGCAGGTGCTTGCGCGTGCCTGTGCTTGCGCGTGCGCGTGCGCATGTGCATGCGCGTGTGTTTGCGTGCTCGTGCGCACGTGGGAGTGTGGGCGTTCGGGGGCGTGCGGGTGTGGGTGCAGGTGCGTGTGCGTGTGCGTGTGCGTGTGGGTGTGGGTGTGTGGGTGTGTGGGTGTGTGGGTGTGTCTGCGTGTCTGTGTGTCTGTGTGTCTGTGTGTCTGTGTGTCTGTGTGTCTGTGTGTGTGAGAGTGTATGTCTCTGTCTGGTCGCTTGTCTGCGTGTCTCGGTGTCTATGTCATGTGTCTGTGCCTTTTGCGTCTATGTGTATGCGTGTCTGAGGGTTTGCGTGTGTGCGTCTGGGTGTCTACGTGTCTGTGTGTCTGTGTGTCTGCGTTTTTGTCTGTGTGTCTGTGTCTGTGCTGCTTTTTGTCTCTTCTGTGTGTGTGTGTGTGTGCGTGTCCGTGTGTGTCTGTGTCTCTGCGTGTGCGCGTGCCCGTGTGTCTGTCTGTCTGTGCGTCTGTGTGTCTGCATGTGTGCCCGTGTGTCTGTCTGTCTGTGCGTCTGTGTGTGTCTGCATGTGTGTCCGTGTGTCTATGTCTGTGTCTATGTCTGTGTCTGTGTGTTTTTTCTTTTTTTTGTGTGTGTGTTTGTGCGTTCATATTTGTGCTTGTGTGTCTGTTTGCCTGCTTGTTTGTTTGTGTTGTTGTACGCGCGCGCGCATGGTTGCTGCTGGGCTGGCAGGCTCCCAAACAGTCCTTTGCCATTTGCCAAGCGATTTGCATGGGAAGGCTGGCACGAAAGTACGGGGCACCCTCTCTCAGTGCCAAGTTGACACATTGGCAGGTGTTTCACGCACAAGTGCGCAGGGACACATGTTGGTGGCTGGCATGCGCTTTCTGACGCGCAACCAGCAGCCCGAGGCCACACCCCAACAAGCACGTTCACCTGCACACAACAAGATGGCCTGTCTGGGTGCATGCCTGGACGCGCTGCTGTATACGGGCACAAATAAGCATGCATGCATGTGCTTGTGCGAGCAAAGAAGAATATGTGCTGGCACCTTCATACATGGGCACATATACTGCTCGAAGTGGTAAGTGGTCACATTGCAATGTGAGCCTGGGCACGTGTGCAAGTGCGGGCCATGCTTGCGCTGGGCCATCACGTGCACACATCTGCGCTGTGCATGGCATTTGTGCCTGGCAGCTTGCATGTACGTATGCGCATGCCCGAACCGTTCACACTTGTAGCTTTCGATTCCCAGCGGTTCCACTTCCGCGCGGAACACCTTCATGAAACGAATTTCCCTTGCATTATCAAACCAGGGGGGGAGGTTGGAAAGGTTGGAAACACAATGCGGCAACAACAAAAAAAGTGCGCCGTGCGCCGCGGTTTGGCCGGGCCGCCTGCTTGACCACGGTGCGCTGCCCGGCTTTATCCGCCAGCTTTGCCCGCCAGCCCTTGGCCGCGAAGGCCATGGCATCTGGGAACCAGCGCCGGGCGAAGAGGTGCACGTAACTCGGGCGGCCGAGGCTCGGCGCCCGAGCGAGCAGGAGTAAGCGTGGAGAAACAGCGCACGGAGGACTGCGGTGAAGTTGGGGCTGCGGGGAAATGAGCGCTGTGATGCAACAGAAAGGGCTTTCCAAAGACTAACCCCGCCCCAAAAAAGTTGCTGGTGCGATTGGTAGGGAATGATCTTCGACCGGTTGTTGGGTTGTCGCACCGGAAAGGGGATTCCCTGAAAGGAACCCAAGTCGGGGATGGCTTGGGGTCATTCCAACTCATTCCTGCCTATCGAGCCAGCGAGTAATTCACGTTGTCACTGCTCGGAAGGCTTCCCCTTAAAGCGTCGACTTGCTGCCCAGACTTGCCAAAGCACCCCCGAAAGGGCTGGCAGAAGAATGAAACATAGAGACAAGGATTAAACCCCAGGTTGAGTCATGGGGGTGTGCAGGATTGAGGGATCCTCCACTGTTGGGGGGAGAAGCATCCCCTAATCCACAAGGTTGGTTGATAGGACGTGCCAAGTGTACCTCAGTGGCTTATCTCCAGGTCACCAGGTCACCAGTCGGCCGGGATGCATAAAGTATTGTACTCCGCCCAAGTAGAGCAAGCCCCAAGTGAAGAAGATCAAGTTGCGGCGAAGATCCACCTGCGGGCGGATTCTGACACGCGCCATTCTCCGAAGATCGACAGTGAGATACTTCCGTTTTTTCCCCGTTTTGTTTTTCTATTTGCTTTTGTTTGTTTTTGTTTTGTTTTTGTTTTTTTCCGGGAGATCGCTAAAAGATGGTGGCTTTGAGAGGCTCCGGGATATCCTTCGCGCGATTTTTTCAGGGGGGTTCTCCAAAAATTGTTTTTTTTTTGCTAAAAGATGTGACTTTCAGTGGTTTTTCTACCAACCAAAATGGGGCATGATTTTACCAAAGGCCCCAGGAACGCTGAGCTTCAGCAGCAATGACACTATGACCCGTGTACCCGTGAAGCAAAAGGAGCATGGCGGCTCGCTCTTCTTTTGGGATCCGCGAAGTTACTGGATCCATTGGGAACATGTCGACATAGGGGACCTCCTTCGCAACCCCGGAGAAAAGAAGAAAAAACAAAAATCGCGCCCATCAGTCCCACCGCCCATTTTTGCCGGTCGTCCCAAGTCACCTCCTCTCGTCGCTCCACGACTTTCTGGGCCATGACGTCGGAGCCGGAGGTCTTGATGGCCGAGACCGCGACGCCGAAGAGGAAGGGATGCTTCCTGCAGATGGGAACCGGAACCGACCCCAGCCGTGGTGTAGATGCCCGGGGAGGAGAAGGCCTTCCCCAATAAAAAACAAAGCAAGGGCCCTGGAAGGGGGGGGGGGGAAACAGGGTTTCAACTTGAAGAAAAAAAGACAGGCAGGACAGTGTTGAAAGGTGAAGTTCTGGTATTGGGCTGTGGATATTAGGCTCTGGTTGCGACTGTGGAAAACTTCGTGGCTCATTGATTGCTTGCAAAATGTCCAAGACTTGTCGTCAGATATTTGTCATGAATCCTTCTGACTCTCGAAGATCATAAAACAAAAACAAACAAAAAATCCACGGAGCTGCCGGCGCGGGTACCATCAAATCGGCCCGCACCCTGGCCTCAGGATTTTACCATAAGTCACCCCATTTATTCAGTGGTGGGTTAAAGGGAAACAACCGATCCCGTTTTCTGACTTTCATAACCCCCAGAAACCGTCAAAATAATGACCCCAGCCCTAGGAAGGGGGTCTGATCGCAGTCTGAGAACCTTTCTCTTGTTGCCGATTTCATCTCCCCAGCATGAAGTGCCCGTGCGTCCCTTAGTCCCCGCCTGCCAATTCGCGACAGAGCTGCAGTTCCACGTCTTACGACCATCGCAGCGAGCTTTGCGCCAACAAAAAAAACACCGTTCGGTCGCAATGCAACGCTCTCTCTGTTGCCCTCAAGTGCGTCCGATGCCTTGGGCCCTCGACCTGTGTTGCTATGGAAGCGCTCAACAAAAACCGCCGCCGCGCAAAAACGCAACGCCGCGCCACATCTCTCGCAGCTACCCCTTTGGAGGGCCAAGCTTCAAGCGCCGAAGCTGGGAGCTCGGGCCAGGAGGCTCAGTGAACATCCGATTCAATCCAACCGTAAAATAGGAAGCCTAAAATGGGTGGTGAATTCACCTATCCCAAAATGGAATCCCATTGGCTTTGAACCACCATTTGCCGGGTTCTCTGGGAAAAGTAAATGACCGCTTCAGGCTGCGGCGGGGGGGGGGAGGTCATGGGAAAGTGAATTGGGCAGCATTCATGAGGGCCCCACCCGCGCGGGTCCTTGGCTCTTGGACTTCCACCCTTCACAGCGCTACCCCAAACTGAAGCTGGGCCTTGCAAAGCATGGCCTGACATGGACCGATACACATCGCAGGCCAAGTCCCCCAACTTTTTGCAACCCGCAGAATAGGTAGACTCATCTCAGATGAGGTCTACCACTAGGGAACATGAAAACGTGTAAACTGTTTGGCTTGCAGCCGCATGCAACTTCCCTGCAGTTTGGGTACGCCGGCCGAAGGAGATCTTGCGACACCAACAGCTGCGATCTATCGTTGTTTGAGGCATGGGACATCGCCGCTGGGCTGCTCAAACTGGAGGCTCCAATCCGAATTTCCATTACCCCCCACCAGCTAACATGGATGTGCACAGACCCCTGTAGAAAGACTACTTTCCTCTTGGAAAGGGCTTTTTTGCACTCCCATGTTAGTTGGTGGGAGGGTATAGAAAGGGGACCAAATCCTGGTCTAACCCCTTGGGTAAGGATTGCGGATGAGCTTTGAACAGCCTACAGGATATCGCTCGGCCGGGCTTTCGTACCCTGAATACACTGTGAGCCGCCAGTCGTGAGGCCACTCGTTACTGGGCGGCTCAAACAGCCGATGTGAGCGTCGTCCTGAGGGCGGCGCCTTTCCCTGACGGTATTGGTGCTGCAAGGCGACATGATCCTCTGGCCAAGCTTAAAATCTGCGAACACTGGCTTGGCCAGTCAAAAGCGCTCAGAGGTCAATTCGCTGTGCAGCTCCTTGCTGTACAAAGCAAGAGATGCATCCACGTCCTCCTCCTCACAGCACAAGCTCTCGCAAAAAGAAGTGGCGTGGACAACGAGCACAAGCAAGCAAGCAAGCAAGCAAGCAAGCAAGCAAGCAAGCAAGCAAGCAAGCAAGCAGGCAAGCAGGCAAGCAAGCAAGCAAGCAAGCAAGCAAGCAGGCAAGCAAGCAAGCAAGCAAGCAAGCAAGCAAAACAAAGCACGCAGGAAACATGGCTGTGGGTGAAAAAAATGTACCCAACATGGCCCCTGGGATGGGAAAAAAGACCAAAACCTGCGGTTTGCCCCTGCTCTTAAATTCTGCCACACCCACATGGACACAGCAAAACTGAAAGCCAGAGCTCCTCGAGGTGATCAAAAGACAGCGGCGCAAGATCAGCATCTTGCCAGAGGCAGTGGACAGGCCCATCGTCCTGCACACCAAAGTTTTCAGCGCGGCCCTGTGAAGCAGCAGCCTTCCTCTTGTTTCCGCGGTTAGTGATCCGGTCAAGAATCGCGAATGTCCTTTCCATACATGGGGCGCCACTGCCAGAATGACCCAACAAACCAGTTTCTGACGGTGGCACCAACACCTCTTGCGGCTTGCGCAAGCCGTCTCCCTTCACCACGCTCTAGATTTTATAGCTTTGTTTAAAGCTAAACCTGACCGTTTCGCTTGCCTTGAGCATTTCAAATGAGCCGAGATCTAGTCTCATCCCTGTGGGGAAGAAACTTGAAATGGGTCTTCTTCACACCCAAAAGGGGCTTTCGGGGCGGCCTCAGGAGGCCTTGCGACACATTGTGTTGAACCATCTCCTCTTGCGAAAAACACCCCCAGAAATGGGTTCCAGCCAATCCCAAGAAATGGGTTCCAGCCAACCCAAGAAATGGGTTCTAGCCAATGTCAAGAAATGGGTTTTAGCCAATCCCAACAAATGGGTTCTAGTTCATTTCAAGAAATGGGTTCGAGCCAATCTGCAGAGTATTAGAGTCACAATCAAAACCCCCACCCAGAATCATGTGAAGAATTGAGAAGGCAGCCGCCACTATTTCTGGTTGGGACTTTACTAACCTTCACTTACCCGGGTGTTTGATTGTGACTCCAAATTAAGCCTCACGGTTCCAGGGTGGGGGGGGGGGTGCCTGGGTCCCTTCCAAGAATGCAGCCATGTTGTCCTTCTTGTCCTTCTCCGGTCGGAGTGCCGCCGCATATCCCATACTCTCCTCACACTCCTGCAGCTCCGAAAGAAGAAGAAAAAAAAACGCGGCGCCGCAATCTCGGCTTTCTGCCGCATGGCTACTGTGGATGGTTGCGAGATCCGTTCGCACCACTTTGAAATTATGGGAAACCACGACGTTTGTTGCTGTTTTCAGGGGAATCATTATTCCAGGGTTTTCTTGGGTGGTGCAGGATTTCGTCCATCCACAGTATGAACTTCAGGCCTGGCAAAATAAATGCGGCTGTTTCTTTCGTTCTCGGGGCCTGAAAATGTCTTCAACGGCCAATGAAGGTGGCCCACTGGGGTGTTCTGCGGGGTTGGGCCTACTGATGATGTAGGTTTTCCTCTTAGGCGAGTTCATTCCCGGAAGAAAGGAATGAAAAGCGCTCAAACCTGATTCATGTCCATTGGGCAAAGGTGCGGTCTCCAAGGATATGTGAGGAGCGGGCAGTATTACTTGATCATGGTGCATGTGGGGCATCCAGCCCCATATGCGGAATAGATCGGGGGAGGAAACTGATCAGTCCTGAACTATGGGCGTGTCCCTTGTGGAATTGTGCATACTAAGCAGTCCGCTTGCAAAAGGAGGCCGACATGAACGAGTTGGAAGAGCCACGTACCAAAATTTGGCAAATGCGCTGGCACCTTGGCTTTTGGGAATTTGGATCGTCCCCCCTTGTCCTGCCCAAACTAACAGTTGACTACCAAAAAAACCTGCGAACATCTGTGAAGGGATCTTATAGGAGCATCCGTTTTACCTCTCATCGAAATCGGCACTCCTTGAACTCCCCACTCATGCTGTGAGGCACCATGACCGACATCTTCTTGGAAATCGATCGCATGGAGTTGGAACGCAGCCGCACCATTATCTGATGAGCGTGCAAATCCAGCTCGGCCTGTGTGGCAGCATAAGTCCTCGGCTTTGAAAGTTGCGCTCGCTTTCGATACTCGACCCCTGAAACAAAACCATTCAAACCAACAAACCAACCCCTGAAACAGAAAAACAAAACAAGGGCACCAAATCCAGGGCGAGACAGTGTCCATGCCTCTTCAGACAGCCTTTTAACAATTTCTAGAAAGCCGGGGACCATCTGCACTAAAACAGGTGCCGTGCGGCGAGAATGAAATGGCAATTTCCTTGAACATCACCTCAGATGTCAAGGCAACGTGCTGAACAAGCTCTATCAGAAAAACACAAACCAAATGTTGCCCAGAAAAATGCACGGTAAAGAAAACACACTCATGCTGCACGAGTTGGTTTATTTCTGGACTTGTCACCTTGATAGCTTTCACGTACATTTTCACGTCCTGCTCTCTCAGGGGCGGATTCGCGTATAGTTCCTGATAGAGCATGTCCGAGGGCACTTGGAAGGACTCCTGAAGTGTCCAACCCGAACTGCGATTTGGGAGAGAAAAGGGCTCGGTACTAAATAGTCCGAAAATTTACGCCACTACCCATCCCCTTTTTGGTTTAGAAGAACATGATCTACTTAGCTGGTGGATGGCACCTGGCTACCTGGCTGAGTGAGAAATTTGCAGGGGGATTGCGCGGCACTTGGGCCCAAACTCGAACTTTTTGAGATTCGCCGGAGTTCGGGTCAAAATGGGGACGCGGAACTGGCAACAAAGCCTGCCTCCGCAATGACCGGCAGGATGGGGCAGGCCGGAAGCGTGCAAATCTCCAGAATCCACGCCGCCACGTCGGTGGATTTGAAGCAGCCGGCACTGCAAATCCTGAGGCAAAAGGATCAGTGAACTTGGCCCCAAGGGGCGGAAGAGCGGAAGCTAAATCTCCAGTGCTCCAAACCTGGGAAAAGGCAAAGCAACCCAAAGTCTGCAACTGCAGTCTGAGGGATCATCAAGGCCGTTTCCACCTCCTCCCGGATGGTTTCGCCCCGCATCAAGACCTTGGGCAGGGACTGCATGCCCCGGAGGAACTGCTTCATCAGCAGGTCAAGAAGGATATGCGCTGCCGCAGCCGCCTCCATATTGTTGAGGTCTGCCACAAGGCAGCACTCATACCTTAAGCGGGCATGCATCTCAACTGGCTCCCAATCACTGTCGTTGAGCTCGTCAGGATCGGCGGATCGCCCCCCCAAAAAAATTATTTGACGAAGCCGCTCCGCACCCCCAGTTCTAAGCGAGCGCCTTGACTCAATCCTTGAACAGGCTGTGTCAGGAAGGCAGCAGCTCAGTCGACACACCTTCCCTGCTCAGCTTAGGCCGCTGGCAAGCAAATTTTACCCAATGTCCACACCGCAGAGTCGGCAGAGCATTAGCGAGATGGGATGATAGATTGTTTTTCGCGGACATTTTCTTCCCTCAGAGTTTGCACTGGGTCAATGCAGCCAAGACTTTGCAGTGGAAGTCTCGCGCTAAAAGTTTTCTACAGAGGCATAGCGCGCGTCCTTGCGGCGCCGGGGCGCCAGCGAGTCCGCAGCGCGCTGCGGGCGGCCGTCGCGCCGGAGCGAAGGACGGGGTCCAGGCGGCGCCTGTCCCCCAGGACGATACTGATAGCCATCGAGCGCGCAACCGCCCCACAAGCAGACGTCGCCTCCGAAGCGCAGGTTCGGCTTCTCACGCTGCAGCCCCATGTGGCGGAAAGCAGCACGCCACGCGTGCCACAAGTTTCTTGGGCGTGGCTCGACACTGTTGAGCTCGTCGCGGAGTTGGCCGCTCCCGTCCCCACATTGCAACTACTCAACTGCCTGACTTGCAGTCTGCCTGGCTGCTGCTCTTGTTTTGCGCCGCGCCTCGGGCGCAGCACTTTCGGAGCCCGCCCGGCCAACACACCGCACCCATGCCCCAGCCCGAGTCAAAGCTCATCCTGTGCCTGAAAATTTGTAGCCCGGCTGTTTCGCTTCCTCCAAGTCCCCAACCCCCCCCTTCCCCCCATACCAGCGCGCTTTACACAGGCAGGTCCACCGTGACCTTAAGAAAATCGATGTTTAGAAAGAATCCGGACAGAACGGAAAAGTGAACATGGCCACATCATTGGCATAGCGGAAGCAGGATCCGGGCAAGGTCCAGATGCACCGTGAGGGTCGTCGCGCATCGCCCGGGGCGCGCCACTGCCCAGCCTTGCAGAGTTGCTGCTGGAGCCCGCCACATCCTGGTCAATTTGGATGGCAACTCTTTTTTAACCACGCGACCGCTGCGATCACGCCGTCCGCTGTTGTACCTCGTTGGCCGGCCCCTCAAGTTCATGCGGCCCTGGCATCATTTGCTCAAGCCCGCATTTCCCTCTTGATTCTTTTGAGCCTGGCCGAGGCGGGCAGTGAGCAGCGATATAAACGACTTCCGAACAGGCGATCGAAACAGGGAAACCATCAAGAAAGGCAAACATTCGATCTGACATTTCGCACATCCTACAGTCAGATCTACCTTTGCGGGTCAAGGTCTTCGATTGCAACTCTGTCCTCTCACAAAAAGTGCCTTTGCCCCAAGCCGATGCTGTTGGACGAGATCGAGAGAAGTGAGTGAGGATGGAGTCGCACTTCCAAGCTTCTTCGCGTAACCCACATTCGTCGGGGATGATTGGATGCAACACTGCCACATGAGCAGCAAGAGAGGAATCGCCGGCACTTGAAGTCGTGCTGTGTAGAAGCATATTCTAGTCAAGCCAGCATTCATGTCCAAAGAAGCACGTTCTCGAATCAAAGAACTCACCATGTGCTTCCACTTAGTATTTGTCACAGGGTTCCTCCAATCCCTTGCCAAAAGTTGATTCACTCAACTTTGAACACCCCATCGATCCTACTGAGGGTCCCCTAACAAGACATACCCGAAGCCAATCAAAGCATCCCCTACGCACATGCCTTCCAGCTCCAAAACAGCCTTCGAGCAGGAAGCTCGACCGCCGGGCGCACGTTCGCAGATGGCCTGCCGGAGGTTCCCGTGAACGAGTCCCGTGAACGGCTGTGTCAGGAGTTCACCAGCTCAGTCGACACGCTTCCCTGCTCAGTCTAGGCCAGCCAGCTAACACACCGCGCCCATGCCCCAGCCCCAGTCCAAGCTGATCCCCTGCCTGAAACTTTGAAGCCCGGGTGCTTCGAATCCTCCAAGTCCCCAACCCCCCCTTCCCCCCCTACCAGCGCAAGCTTTACACAGGCCAGCCCCATCCTTCGAGCCCCAGGTCCAGGGCCTAGCCCAGCCAGCTGAGCCCGTCACGCCCAATCCAGCTCATTCCAGCCACCTCGTTGGCCGGCCCCTCAAGTTCATGCGGCCCTGGCATCATTTGCTCAAGCCCGCACTTCTCTCTTGATTCTTTTGAGCCTGGCCGAGGCGGGCAGTGAGCAGCGATATAAACGACTTCCGAACAGGTGATCGAAACAGGGAAACCATCAAGAAAGGCAAACATTCGATCTGACATTTCGCACATGTGCTACAGTCAGATCTACCTTTGCAGGTCAAGGTCTTCGATTGCAACTCTGTCCTCTCACAAAAAGTGCCTTTGCCCCAAGCAGATGCTGTTGGACGAGATCGAGAGAAGTGAGTGAGGATGGAGTCGCACTTCCAAGCTTCTTCACGTAACCCACATTCATCGGGGATGATTGGATGATGAGCAGCAAAGAGGAATCGCCGGCACTTGAAGTCGTGCTGTGTAGAAGCATATTCTAGTCAAGCCAGCGTTCATGTCCAATCTGAAACTCAAGGAAACGGACTCAAACCCAAACAAAGAAGCACGTTCTCGAATCAAAGAACTCACCGTGTGCTTCCCCTTAGTATTTGTCGCAGGGTTCCTTCAATCCCTTGCCAAAAGTTGATTCACTCAACGTTGAACACCCCATCGACCCTGAGGGTCCCCCAAATCAAGACATACTGCGGATGGACGAAATCCTGCACCACCTAACAAACCCTGGAATCATGATTCCCCTGCAAATACCAACAAACGTTATGGTTTCAACCATGGTTCCAAGTGGTGCGAACGGATTTCGCTACCATCCACAGTACCCGAAGCCAATCAAGGCAATTGAACACCCCATCGACCCTGAGGGTCCCCCAAAGACATACCCGAAGCCAAGCAAGGCATTCCCTTCCGCACAACCCTTCCGAGTCCCAAACAGCCTTCGGGCAGGAGGCTCGACCGCTGGGCGCGCGCTCACAGATGGCCTGCCGGAGGTTCCCGTGAACGAGTCCACCAAACTCTCCATCGTGTCCTGAGACGGGTCGAGGCCGGCACAAAAGATGTGGAAAACTCCAAGGGAACGTCAAAAGGCACGGAAAAAGGGGGCTTGGTACTTTTGGGTGTAAAACCAAAGCAAATTATCTGGCATAGGAATTCAAAGAGCCGGCGTCACATGTGTTTCGCCCAAATTGGACCGGGCTTGAGAGTACGACTCTGGCATCGGCAAAAACTAGGCCAGCTGCATGCATCCCTTGACCCACTGCAAGAAATCATCATGGTCCCTTTCCTTCTGAGACATGATGGAAATTCATCAAGGAATCATGTCAGCAGGGGGGGGGGGGCTTCTGCTGCGTGGCGTGAACTCCGCAAACCACTCGTGTTTCCCTGGCACGTGGACATGCCGCAAGCCAGCTATTTGTCACGAGCAAAAGCCTGTTTCCTTGCTTGGCGTGGTTGTTCATTGTGCGGACACATAGATTTGGACCTTGTTTCGAGAGGTTCTTAAGGTCTGGGGGTTGGGGCCCCTATCCATCAATCAAGGGACCCAGGGCTCGCAAGTCTAGAGCACACATGTTCATTTGACTGTCACAAGTTCCAGTCGTGCGCGCGACACCTGCGTGCCAAGCTACCAAAGGCTTCGCAGTCTTCCCCATCTAACGCCCGTCCACGTAGATGTATCACATGATAATCTCACAAGCAATTCTACCTGTAGGGCACCCAGAAGATCAGTTTCCTCTTGAAGGCACGTCAGGTGCCACGTCAGTGGGAAGGATCTTGACCATTTCACTCTTGACATGTCTCCACTGGATTGCGAGCGGATCCAAAAGAACAGGTCCCAACACACCCCCGAGACTCCCGGGACCCAAACGTCTGGAACAAGAGTTACATTTGAGTAACTGTCGGTGTTTCAACCGGGATAACTTTTTGGAGGGTGTTGGGAGAAATCTTCATAATGAGGGCTCGGCTCAGTCTTCGGAATCAGGCTGAAGTGCGTCCACCATAAAAGAGGCCAGAACAGGGGGCCCTGCTTTGATTCCTCCGCAGCCTTTTCATTCGGGCGACCCCAAAAAAGCTTTCTCTTGGAAACCCATCAAAAAGAAAAAACACAAAGCCTTTGATCGAGGCTCGCAAGTCACCAGCGCAGGCATGCTCAAGGACTGAAGACCGTTGAGCCAGCGCAAGGTGTCTTGGACATCCTGCGATGTGGTTGGTTTCGGATGGAAAAGGAAACTGGCAGACATGCAAGTCACATTGCTCTTCTACCTGTCACCCCCCGACCCTCCTCTTGTTGGATCTGAGGGGTTTGAAAAGGCAATTGGTGGGGGGTCAGGAGCAAAGCACGCAGGGTTCAAATAGATGGGGCGATTAAAAAGACATGGGCTAGGGGGAGAGGGGTTAGAAAGAAAGCAGGTCAAAAAAGATCAACGGTGCAAGCAAATGGGAGCCCGAACTGAGGGGGTTTAGAAGGGACAAGGACCCGGTACTTGTTCGATGGTGTTAATGCTAAGGTTGTGAGGAGCTGCATTGTAGGCTCCTTGGAACCATAGAAAAACTGGCCTGGTCAAGGGGAACGAGTGAGTCTTAGGCAAATTGACAGAACAGAAACATACAACAAGCATAAAGAGCCCTAGGTGTGTTGTTCCATTTGGGATATGGTTCTCTTGCCGCATCAAGTGATTTGGGGACCCTTCGAGTCGTAACTTTGTGATGCCCCAAAATTTGCGGCATCCATTCTACGACCTGGGCTTGACGCCTGTGAAAGTCTCAACGAATCCCAAATATCAAGACGCCAGAAGGAAGGTCAAAACAGCCGGCAGAAAACCAAAGGAATATGCCAGAAACGCGAGAAACACGTTGCAGATTCCTGCGGGAAAAAGGCGCTCCATGCCGCTGTTCCTCCCTTTCTTCGTTCCAAGTTGGAGTCCAATTCGACAAAACGGTTGTGTGGTGTTGGAGCTTTGCGCCACAAGGAAGCCCTTACTTTTGGATCAAGGGCGGCCTCCCCATTTTCGTGATTGTTTCAACGGAAAAGCAAGGGGACACCAAAGCATCTCCATGGGGCCAAGCAATACCCCATTTGGAGACACACACTCATTCTCGGGATACAGAGCCCTCCAAACCGTCGGTTTGTTCCCTAGGCACATGTCTGAAAGCTTCACCTTAAAGGCACGGAAAGTCGTCCAAGCTTTCACGGCGAACCAACATCATAGCCATCCATACTGTGGATGGACGAAATCCTGCACCACCTAAGAAACCCTGGTTTCTGATGATTCGCCTGTAAATCCCAACAAACGTCATGGTGTCCAATACTTTCAAAGTGGTGCGAGATGGATTGCGCAACCATCCACAGCAGCCATCGATCTTGTCTGCGGTCACAGCCTCGTTTTTGTTCCTTGTGTTTTTTTTTTTTTGACTCCCGGCATTTTTCCCTATTCCAAGCCGAGGTGCGGAGAGCCCGATGCCGAACTTGGCGAGCTCGTTGATGTCTTGCACCAGCACCCCGCACTCCGAGATGTACTCTTGGTCCGGCTTCACATAATTGGGCCAAGCGATCAGGATGGAAGAGACCTAATCGGCGAAAAAAATCTGCCAAAAAACCGAGGAAAAAACAAACAAGGGGATTGGGAGGATATGAAACAAACAGCTTGGTTCCAATGCTTCACCTAGTGTACAGTCTCCTTCTGTTCTTTTGTTCTGGGGTACCCAGGTCGTGCTTACACATGTCTTGCCCAACTTTGGTTATTTCGCCAAGCTGTCCAAGCCCGCGCTCAGTTGGCAAGCCGAGCACCCCAGCCACTTTGGTTCTCTTTAAGCGGCACATGGGCTTGCCTCGGTTTCCCTTTGCCTTTCAAAACAATCCCACAAAAGGGTGCGAGCCTCGAAAAGAAACAAGCCCGCTTTAAATTTGCCGCACACAAAGCCGACCCAGAAACACAACAAACAAATTTGCCCGCACAACAGGGAACCACCTTGGCTCAGTTTCTCAGAAGGGCACTCTTTTTGGCCGGGAATACCCATCTGGTTGGCCATGATTTCCGTTGGAAGGACCCCCTCTTTTGCTTGGCTTCAACTGGAGAAGAAGAAGAAAAAAAAAGGAAAACCCGGGCTCCATCGGACGGAGACTTGTGGGACTCGCCTCGGAGACCCGTGCCGTGACCATCTCCCCCAGGCACCAGGGCCGGCGTATGACCTCGGGGGAGCCGAGGATCAGAAAGGTCCGGGTGTTCTGGGACACGTGCCAGAAGAGTTTGGTCAGGTCCTCAGAAGCTTTGCTCGCTCGCTCAGAAGCTCGGCTCGGAGAAGATGGGGATGGGTCACGGCTGCGGAATTCTGTCGGGATTTCTGCTTGTCCGTATTTGTCTTTGGGATTGTTTTCGATTTTCGCCTTGGCCAGTAAAATGTCGTCTATATCAAACCAGGAATAGGTGCTCACAGTCGGGTCGGACGGGGGCCTTTCCTTTTCCTTGGTGCCATGGGAATGACAACGAGACAGAATGAAGCGGAAAGGGGATGTCCTCCCTTAAAGGAAGCCATAGATGATGGATAGGGGTCATTCCCTCCTTCGAAGGAGACCAGAAACCATATGGGTCAAAATTAGTCACCACCAGGAATTAGGCTGCAAGTGTTGAGTCCTTGTTTCCTTTTACCAGGGCAACCCATTTTGGGTATCCAGTTTTGACCCACAGCCACCTCAATTGGACGGGTGCCTTTTCATTGGAGGCGGAAGCCGTCCCCTTTCAGTTCCCTCCAACTTTTAATGTTGATCCAGGATTAATAAACCCGTCCCATTATTAGGGGGGTGTTCCCTCCAAAAGTGATGAATCTCCACTAAAAGGGGACACCCCCATTAACCAGGGGTTTATTAATCCGGGGTTAACATTATTCGGCAGTCAAGCCTTTTCATGTTCGGGGGTGAAGGCGACCGCTCTTCACGAAAGGTAGATCACATCCCCCACATGAAAGCAACCTCCAGCCAGAGAGAGCCAAAAAGATCAGGCCACAACCTCCCCCAAAGCAATGACGCGTGCGAGGGACTCCCCTCAGAGCAAGGAGAAGGTGATCTACCTTTCTGAAAGCCAAACTTTCGCCCCAGAAGAATCTCCGGAACCAAAAAAAGCCCCCTGCAAAATGGAAAGGCTTGGAGTCTGCATGACAACAGTTGGGAACCCAAAATGGGGACTGCTTCCTCCCAGAACGGGATGCTGTTGTTGGTTCGGCGGCTTCGCTGGGCCTGTTGAAATAACATCCTCAAAATTACACTCTCGATGGATTGAAAGGAAACCCCTCAAAATGTAACTTTCAAAGACCCTGTTTTTCACCTGGATCTGGACACAAAGAGGTCCTTCATCATAGGATCCAAACTATCCATCTCAAAGCCACCTGCCCTTTTGGGCGTTTCTTTGCCAATTTTGACCTACTCAATTTCACATCCAAACACCCAGGTGGTCCCATTTTACCTGAAAGAATGGCTCCTGTCAAAAACAAAATCAAACACCACCTACGCCCAATCCGCCCGAGTTCGATTTCCGGGTGTGGGTCAAAAGTGCCCAAAATGTCTTGCCCTGGCAAACGGAAACCTCAACTTCCTGACTAATTTTGACCCGCGCGGTGTCTGGTTTCATTTTTTCCGGAACAAAGCAAACTCCTCTCAAAAACCCAATTGTCATTTGTCAAAACGAAAAAGGGGAGCAAAAAATCACCTACCGCCAGTCAGCTCCAACCACTTCCCCCCCGACTTCTCCACTCGATCTCTCGCTTTCTCGCTTTCTCAAAAAAACAACATGAGTTCCAAACAGGTCGATGTCCTTCGCTTTCTCTTTCTCGCAATCTCTCGCTCCTGCAGGTCGTCGCAGTCCACGAAGCTGGTGAAGGCCTGGGACCGGCGCAGCAGCAGGATCTTCAGCAGCCGCGCCACGGAGCCCGCGCCGCGCTTGTGGTGGCAGAGGAAGAAGTGGTAGGTCTTCCGCTGCGCGCTCAAAAAGTGCCTGCCGTCTTTTTCTCTCCTTTTTTTGGCAGGGAAGGTAAAAGCATGGAAAAAGCTGTCTGAAAAACTTGAATGGCCTGCTTTTGGGGGAGAAAAACTGGTGCCATCAGGGAGAAAAAGGACTGGGAAAAACGTCTGATCCGGCGGGGAAAGAAAGGAAGAAAGGAAGAAGTGCCTGCCGGTGTTTGTTTTTTTCTGTTTGTTGCAGGGGGGAGAAAAACATGGAAAAACCCTCTGATGCGGTGGCACTTGCAGGGAAAACATGAAAAAACGCTCTAATCCAGTGAAAAACTTGAAGACGGGCCATCAGGGAGAAAAAGACTGGGACAAACATCTGATTTCGTGGAAAGAAAGGAAAAGAAAGCTGGAAGGTGAGGTGCCATCAGGGAGAAAATACATGAACAACTCATGAACACGTCTGAAAGGAAGAGAAAGCTGGAAGGTGAGGGGAGATGAGAAGCAAGGAAGCCACTTGGCAGGGAGGAAAACATGAGAACCGTCTGATTTTGTGGGGAAAGAAAGGAAGACAAAGCAAGGTGAGGCTTGAGGGGAGATGAGAAGAGGCTGAAACGTGTTGCGTTTAGGAGAAACGGGGGCCAAAGGAGAACCCATGTTCTGGTTGAGAGACAGTCCGGTAACCACGCTAAGTGGCGAATTCGGCTACCACGCCAACTTTTAGCAATAACCACGCCAGATCAGTAACCACGATAACAAAATGCAAAATAAAAGCACACGGAACAACAGAGAAATATAAAGAACTATGAAAGCAGTATGAAAGGAACATAGGAGGCAATGGATGGTATGGGAAGTGGACGGAAGGACGGGAAGTGGACGGGACATGACATGGACGAGATGGATGGACGGGAATGGACAGTGGAATGGACGGGAAATGAATAGGTGGGAGTTGTGAACGACGGGAAGTGGATGGAAACGGACGAGAAATGGACGGGATGGACGAGACCGGAAATGGATCAGGGAATGGTTGACGGGAAGTGGACGGGACATGGGCTAGGTGGATGGGATGGACGGGAACTGGACGGGAACTGGACGGAAAGTAGACGGAAACGGACGAGAAATGGACGGGATGGACAAGACCGGAAACTGGACGGGACATGGGCGGGAAAGTAAATTGACGGAAACGGAAGGAGGTGGATCGGAGTTGTGGGTGGACGGGAAGTGGACGGGAAGTGGACGGAAACGGACGAGAAGTGGACGGGATAGTGGACGGTTGACGGGAAGAAGGGAAATGGGCGGGACATGGGCGGGGAAGTGAATCGACGGGAACGAGGATGGGTAGGAGTTGTAGGCAGCGAGTGAGTGGACGCAAAGGACGAGCAATGGACGGGATGGACGAGACCGGAAATGGATCGGGAATGGACGGTTGACGGGAAGACGGGAAGTGGACGGGAAGTGGACGGGAAGTGACGGGGAAGTGACGGGGAATGACAGGAAGTGGACGGGAAAAGGAACTTGACGGGGAAGTGACGGGGAATGGCAGGAAGTGGACAGGAAGTGATTAGGAAGTTGCGGGGAATGACAGCAAGTGGACGGGAGGTGATGGGGAAGTGACGGGGAATGAGAGGAAGTGGACGGGAAGTGCACGAGAAGTGAGGGGGAATGAGAGGAAGTGGACTGGGAGTGATGGGGAAGTGACGGGGAATGAGAGGAAGCGGACTGGGAAGTGGAACGTGACGGGAATGAGAGGAAGTGGGCGGTGACGGGGAATGAGGAAGTGGACTGAAGTGACAGGGAATGAGAGGAAGTGGACGGGAAGTGATGGGGAAGTGACGGGGAATGAGAGGAAGTGGACGGGAAGTGCACGAAAAGTGACGGGGAATGAGAGGAAGTGGACTGGGAAGTGCACGGGAAGCGACGGGGAGTGAGAGGAAGTGGACTGGGAAGTGCACGGGAAGTGACGGGGAGTGACGGGGAATGACAGGAAGTGGACGGGAAGTGACGGGAAATGAGAGGAAGTGGACGGGAAGTGGAACGTGACGGAGAAGTGGCGGGACAGGAAGTGGACAGGAAGTGATGGGGAAGTGACGGGGAATGACAGGAAGTGGAGCGTGACAGGGAAGTGACAGGGAAGTGACAGAAGTGACGGGGAAGTGGACGGGAAGTGATGGGGAAGTGGACGGGAAGTGATGGGGAAGTGACGGGAAGTGAGGGGGAAATAACGGGGAGTGATGGGGAAGTGACGGGGAAGTAAAATGAAAGTGGATGTGGACAGCAAATGGACAGCGAGTGGACGGGAAGTGCACGGGAAGTCACGGGGGTCCTGTCCATTTCCTTTCCATTTCCTGTCCATGTCCTTTCCATGTCCTTTCCATTTCCTTTCCATGTCCTTTCCATTTCCTTTCCATTTCCATTCCATTTCCTTTCCATTTCCTTTCCATGTCCTTTCCATGTCCTTTCCATGTCCTTTCCATGTCCTTTCCATGTCCTTTCCATTTCCTTTCCATGTCCTTTCCATGTCCTTTCCATTTCCTCTCCATGTCCTTTTCATTTCCTTTCCATGTCCATTCCATTTCCTTTCCATTTCCTTTCCATTCCATTTCCTTTCCATGTCCTTTCCATTTCCTTTCCATGTCCTTTCCATTTCCTTTCCATGTCCTTTCCATTTCCTTTCCATTTCCTTTCCATTCCATTTCCTGTCCATTTCCTTTCCGTTTTCTTTCCATTTCCTCTCCATATCCTTTCCATTTCCTTTCCATTTCCTTTTTCATTTCCTTTCCATGTCCTTGCCATGTCCTTTCGATTTCCTTTCCATTTCCTTTCCATTCCATTTCCTTTCCATTTCCTTTCCATTTCCTTTCCATGTCCTTTCCATGTCCTTTTCATTTCCTTTCCATTTCCTTTCCATTCCATTTCCATGAAGAGGCTGAAACGTGTTGCGTTTAGGAGAAACGGGGGCCAAAGGAGAACCCATGTTCTCGCAAAGGTCAAGACAAACGAACCTCGTGGGTTCTGGAAGGATTTCAGACTTGCGACCGGGACGGGTCTTGCTGAAACAGAACTTCACCAAAGCATTCGAAAAACAATCGGGAGTTCGATCGGTCATGTGAGTCACAATTATACCAACAAAAACAGTGGCCTCAAACAATGGCACCACGCCAAGAGCGCCTCATTTGAGTCACAATCAAACCGGTATGAAATGGTCGATCCCCAGAACCATATGCAGAATTACCAAGGAGGCACCCATTTATGGCCGAGACTGCCCCTTACCAGCCTTCATCTACCCGGGTTTTTGTTTGTGGCTCATCCCACGTCGCGCGAGCCTGGCTACTCCCACAGCAACAACGACACCAATCGCCAGCAGCATGAAACTTACCAGCAGCGCGCACACCACCACCATGGCGGTCTTGTCGTAGTCCTGGCAGGTGAGAAAGTCCTTTGGCGCGGCTGTTTTGAAGGGGAAGAAGGTTGCCCAAGCTTAAGTGACTGTGAAAGGCGCGACGGTGCTGTCTTGGAATAGAAAAAAGAACAAAAAGATGGATGCGCTTGTGTATGTTGCAAAGCGCAGAAAACAACGCAGCGCCCTTCAGTCAACTAATCTTATCAAGCTAGAAGCTTGGCAGAAAAGGTATGGATTGTAGGTGAAGTTTTTGTGCCTTGAACCAAACGCAATCCCAAAGAGAGGCGAACACTGCCAAAATGAAGCACTGGTCTCGGAACCAGCTTCAGCTGTTCAATGCCGTGGTGAGTTTTGTTGCCCCGCACAGTGCGACCACAATGAGAGCAGTTCAACGGACCCTAAATTCGAACAAGGTTGCCATGTGAGGCGCCAACCTCGCAATATCAACGAGGTAGCTGCAATCCAACCCAACTTGGTTGACGTTGGAAGGGGAGAAAATTTAAAATTTAGCACTTTAGTGGGGATTTCCCACTAAACCACGAAAATGAAAAATGTAAAATGTTTCCCAACAACAACCATGCCAACCCGAAGTCCGCAAAAAGATTCCGGCGACGCACAACTTCGCAGGGTGCCGCTTGTTGACAACCCGCACGGCGCAGCGACAGCCAACCGACCCACCGCCTGAGGACTTTCAGGCTTTGCTCCAACTCACACCACACGGAGAGCGCCAAAGTCCACCAAGGCTCCGCTTTCCATTTTCGGAACTTGCACCGCGCCCACGGCAAGAGCAAATCGAAAGCCAAAGTCCGCAAGGGTGGCTTTCAACGTTCGAAATTCGCACACCACAGAATCAGCGACTGAACCCAACAAAAGCCAGCAGCAAAAGCATTCCGACACTGCGCGGAGCCTGCAGCCTTTCTGTTGCGCGGCCAACGGAAAACCCTAAGTGAAAGCAACCCCATAGAAATCACGACACCTTTGGGAGAAATCCAAAAGGATTTGTGTGTAAGGAGACCATCTGTCCTAGCAATGGAAATCAATGCCAATTTTGGGAGAAATCCAAATGGATATGTCGGTTCCAAGGAGACCACCCTGTCTGTGGGTCAAAAATAAGTAACCAAAATGGGTTGCCCTGGTAAATGGAAACATGGACTAAAACCTGCAGTCCATATCCTGGTGGTGAAGATTTTTGTTGACCCATACCCAAGGTGAAAGCAATAGTAATCAACGACACCTCTGGGAGAAATCCAAAAGGATTTGTCTGTTCTAAGGAGACCCAAGCAGTAGAAATCAACGAGATCCACCTTTTGCAGACATCAAATCAAACGGATTTGTCTCTATGGAGGCCATCTGTCAATCCACGGCTTCTGTCACGGAGACCGCCATCTGTCCTCTACAAAGTTGGAGCCCACAGTCATCACCACGATCAGCGCGGTTCCGATCATGATCTCCAGGTTGTTGCAGAGCATCGCCCGCCAGGGCTTGAAGAACGCGGTGGCGGCCAAGCTGGTGCACGTCAACAAGTTCATGAGCAAAACCTGGGCTGCAACGAATTCCCTGCAGAAAGTCTCAACTTCTTGGGGGGGTTAGTGGAAAACACAACTTGCTTTCAACCGAAAATGTCAAAGTCTCAAGCTCCAAGCGAATAGCAGCCAAGCAGCTCGGTTGCTCACCCACGGCACGAGAGGCAAAATGGCAAGCAGCATGTTCCGCAGCATGAAGAGCACTGCAAAGCCTTCGGCCCCTGGACGGAATCTCACCAGCAGGAAGGAGCACGACCGGACGAAGGCCATGTCCCCATGCTTCAGTCGGGACGGAAGCTCGAAGACGACCGCCCAAGTGCAAGCCGCCAGGAACGAGATGGGCAGCAGAAAAGCCGTCCCGCCGATCAAGGACATGTGCAAATGTGCATCCTGGCCATTGCAAAATACGGAAAAGTAGGCCTGCAAAGTGGAAAGCCCATTTGGATGGGTATTGCACCGGAAGGGTGTCAGCAAGGAAGAGCACACCGAGATGAAGAATATCATGCACAGAGTCCCCAAAGTTCTGGCAAGCAGACTCCTTGGTGGCTTAATGCTACGCAAAAAAAACTTGCCGAAAAACTGCATGTTTGTTGGTCCATTGGTGGGCGAATGTACCAATTCAATAGGTGAAAAATGTACAAAGCCACTTGATGCCAAGCCTCCAGCGCCAACACTGCTTGAGCCCGCGATTCCAGCCCAAAAAAATCTGAACTGTGATATGGACGAGCAACGCCACGCCGCAGAGCGCCAGCATGAAAAATGTTTGTGTCGCAAACTGGGCCACCGGATGCGTGGGTGTTACGCAGCCGATGGAAATATAGTCCAGCTTAAAGGTAAGAATCTCTGTTATCGCGAGCCAACTTGCGATGGGCTCACCCCAGTTGATGCCTATCTGCTGAACAATGCTGAACAGCTGGCAGGTGACGAAAAGCTGGTTCAGTGCCAAAGCAACAATCATCAAGCTGCTGCCCTGCTTCACCTTGAGGCCGTCGTGCTGAAACACGAAGTACAAGACCTCACTTGCAACCAAAGTTGCCATGACTCAAAATGCATCGAAACTCAGTGGAGCCACATCTAAGATCGGCAAATAGAGGTCGAGTTGGGTGTGGATCAAGAATAGGGGCCCAAATTGGACCGCTGGCAAATGGAAACTCTGTTGTGGTTGCAATCGAGAGACTGTAATCGCTCCCACTGTCAGTGCGCCAAAAACTGTCAGTATGATATAGTCGCCTTCCGCACACTGCACACCTGACTGGCAGCTTCCCCACACTTCCAAAATCGTGAAGAAGGGCTTGGGTTGCTTGAAAAGACTTGGGGCTCACCATGAGAAACCCGGGAGGCAGCCTGGGAAATCACTTGCTCAGATTTACCTGCAGTTCAACCGACCTGAGTCTGGCCAAGAAAAAAGCCAACCACATCCTCGGATGTTTCAACCAGGAAGCCGGACAACTTGCTGGCTCGCAGGGATTGAGGGGATGGCCTTTTTTTGGCTTGCTTTAAGGGGACCCCCCTGGGTTCATTCCCACCCTGGCTCATTCCGCACCTCTCGCACCAGCAAGAGGTATCGTTTATCATTTTTTTTGTACCTTAAACCCCAACGAACCCGATCCCCCGCTCTTAGAACCTCGGTTCTCATTTCAACCCGCCCTGTGATTGACTTCAAGGAGAAAGCCACCGAGCAAACCAAAAGCTCCGAAAATTGCAAAGATGCGCCGCCAAGTCGCATGAGCCGTCGTTTCTGCTGTTCACTTTCCCAGGGAGGCACAAGGCGCAGGCGACGCTCGTGGCATCGCGGCCCGCCGCGCAAGTGCCTGGCGCTCCGCCCGGGCAGACCTGCGCGCTCTGGCATCGGTACACCGAGCCGGGCGCCAGCTCCGAGGAGTAGTAGCCTCAGACAAGGCGACTTCCTGGCCTCGTTTTTTTCCCATAAGTCACCCCCGTTCAGTGGGTGAAAGGGAAACAATCGATTCCATTTTCTGACTTTGATCACCCCCGACTGTCAAAAGAATGACCCCAGACTTCTGAAATGAAAACAAGGACAGATCCGTGTGTTCTTGTCATTCTTGGTGAGAGGCCCCCAAAGTGTGGGGTGTTGTTTCTTTTTTTAAGGCTCGGCGCCACCAGCATCACTGGCATCAACATCGCCAAACGTTCAGCAAACAACAGCTCTTCTAGTATCTACGTCACCTCCAACATCTTCAGCAGAGCTCTCTACCCCCCCCCCCCCCGCAGAAAAAAAAAAAGAAAAGAAACAAACAATGAAACAAATCCCCTCCACCTTCCCCAAAAAAATCCAGCGAGTCCAGCACAAGAAAACAAAAAAAAAAAACGTCCCACGGCATGAACCTTTTCCGCCCCGGCGCCTTCCTGCAGCACCATCTGGGACCCAAAGCAGACGGAGCCCTCGAGGCAAACTTCGCATTTGCCCTGCTGCAGAAAGGTCCCGGGGACGCACACGCAGAGCGACTCCGAAGTGGCCGCCTGTTTTGGCGCCAACAAAAAAAACACGCAACCCGTGGCTGAAACCGTGCACCGTTTTGCCAAGAAACGACAAAGCGAAAACACCCGCTTTTTGTGTGGGACTTAGAAAAGCAGAGAAACCACCCCTTATTTAGAAAAAAAGAAACTTGTTTGAGTGCAAAGGTTTGTTTCTGCGACTTGGCTTCCCGCTTTTTGTGGATGGATGGCTTCATTTTGGGGATTTCTTTGGAAGGGAAAGAGGGAAGCCCACCCCGGTGTTTGTGGATCCCCCCTGGCTTTGGCTGAGACGAACCACGGCGAAGAAATCCCCAGAAGACTAGGAGTCGCAACATGAGGGGGGCGTTTCAAAGTCCGACAACTGGCCTGCATCTGGATCCACAGAGAGGTCCCACCAGAAGTTGACCCGGGGCTGTCCGGAACCAGCTTGCTGGTGGTCCATACAGCCACCTGAATGCGTTCTTGAGAGTTCATGGAACCCCATAAAAAAGGCTGATTTCTGACCCTGAATCCCCGACAGAGCCTCATGGCTAACTGTCTGATTCTTTCCAGGGGTCCTTCCCAGAAAACCACAACTGGTGATTGAGCTGAACAGTGATCCAAAAAAGCACGGGGAATCACCAATTAACATGGAACCTGACGTTTGGGGGTCCATTTTGGCGGAAAATGGTCCAAATGTTGAATGGTGGGAGGGTGCTAAGAAAGACACCCAAGAATGACACCCAAGAATGACACTCAAGAATGACCGGGCCCGCAAGTTCCTGCTCGGACACCGAATTGCCACAAAAATGGCATGTTCTCCAAATCGCGGAATGGACACCACTCGAATCCCTGCTCCCTCAGAAATGAAAAAGAGATTGAGATTCCTCTTGTCTGAGGCGCTCTTTGGGCCTTAAAATCGTGACAAACCTGCAACGAAAAGGTCCAAGTTTGAAGTTTGCCTTGGCTCAAGATGCAAGCGGGGTATGGGTCTAAACTAAACAGGGGGCCGCAGGCTTTGGTCAATGGTTCCATTCACCAGGTCAACCCATTCTGGGGCTTACCCCCCATTTTTGGACACAGCCAGCTCAACCCACTCCCGAACGACTCCCGTTCCGTTCCGCCTGCGCCGTGTCACCGGGCCCGCACTGCCGGCATTCAGACATCCCGCGGGCGTCCGCATATTTGCCCAGGCTGCAGGGCAAGCACTCCATGAGCCCAGCCTGAGTTTCAAGCCCGAGGCGGCTTTCCAGAGGATGGAACGATCCATTCACAGCTCACCTTCCGTCCGGGGCTTCCGTGGCTCCGGTCCGGCTTCGTTTCGTTTCGGGCCCGCGCCTGGTCCGTGACCGTCCCCGGCTCGCAGGGCACACACTGGGACTCCCCGGGCAAACTCTGGTGCCAACCCGCGGGGCACCTGAATCGAGTGACGCACACACCAGACCTCTGGGGGGTCAAAAATAGTAACCCCAAAAATGGGTTGGCCTGACAAATGGAAACAAGGACTCAAACCTGCGGTCCAATTCCTGATGGTTGATTTTGACCCATACCCTGTTGGAAGGTTGAACACCCAAACTGCCGGAGTTTCCCGGGGGATGCTTCAGGGGGAAAGATAGAGCTCCCGGAAGCTGTTGATGGTCGCTTCGCCATCAGGCCTCTCTCATGGCTCAGAGGGGCTGGGAGAAAAGAAACACCAAGGTGCTGAATTTGACAAAAACGTCATGACTCCAAGGCTTCAGCTCCTTTGGAAGCAATGGAACATCCAACTCTCGAGCCTCAGGAAGCCAGCAGGTCTCTTGGAGTTTTCTTGGATCTCACGGCCGAACCTCGGGAGGAGTTTCCATGTCGCCATCCCTCCAACTCCCCGGGGATTTTCCAGTCAAGCTGAGACATGGCCTCACTCTGCCTCTAGAAGCGGCGGCTTCTCTTTTGAGAACTGTTGAGCCATGGCGAGCCGCCGAGTGTTGGCAACGCGAGACTCGCCATCGGAGCGGCCAAAAAAAAAAACGCGGGGTTGGAACTGCTTCTCCAGGCCAGGGGTCCCCTCTTTTAACGCTCCAACAGCTCGCCCCCTGTTCCTTCGTTGCCCACAATCCGAAGGGGGCGCTTCACCGAAATTGAATTCAAGATGTGTGCACAGGCAGAAGGCTGTGCTCCTCACGCTGGTTTCCTCAAGCATCCTTTGCCCCAAAGGATGTCGCCCGAAAATTCACCTTCCTCCAAAACACGTCTTTTCTTGGCCCCAAAAACGGTTGTTGGGGAAGGGCCATGGAAACCTGGGAGTCGATGTTGCAACCAAGCCTAAAAAACCCAATACCCTAAAAAAGAAGGCGGTTGCAAAATAGACCCTAAGCGTCCACCATACGGCGGAGGGGGGGGGAGGGGGTCGTGCACTTCGGTTCGTGGCGCGGCAGGCAGATCCGCGTCTGGTTCACCGGGGACGCGAAGTGGCCCACCGGGCAGAGGCCGCAGTCCACCGCCTGCGACAAAATGGTCACCACCTGGTTCTGGGCGTCCACCAGCCCCATGCCTGCGGCAGAATTCTTCCGCGCATAAAAGGAGGGTTTGCTGCATCACAGGAACCAGGTCTGCGTGCGTGGGGTTCTTATATGGGTTCATGGGTGTTTGGGATGCAAAGTAGCACCCAGGACCTAACCGGAAACATAAATGGGCTGTTTGGTGGCGGTTTGCTTGCGGTTGGAGCGTTTCGTTCGTTTGGTGTTGTGTGGCTGCTTTGCTTTGCTTCGCTTCGCTTCGCCTTGCTTTGCTTGCTGTCGTGCACCGTTGTAGTTTGCTTTGTTGCGTGTTGTTGATTAGTTTCGCTCAATGGCGTTTGGGCTGACGTGTTTTGTGTCTTTTGCTTCGTGCAGTTTGTGTTTGCTCCGCGGATAGTGTTGACACGAAGGGGGCTCACGGTAAGAGTTAAGGGCTGGTTTAGATTGAAGGTTCGCGCTCAGAAGTGTTAGCAGTGTGCGCAGCGTTGCCTTTGTCGCGACCCTCATTGCGAAATACACTCTCGTTGTGGCGCCGTGCAAAATTTGCGCATGAAATCGCATTTTTGATGGCCGGTGCTGGAGGTTGGACCTTTCTTCAACACTGCGCTCTCTCTTTGGCGCTGTGCCGATTTTCAGACTTGTGTGTTGACGGCTTGTCCATGGCCAGTTTCATGGCGGGGGAGCGAATTCTCTGCTGAAGATGTTGGAGGTGACGTAGATACTAGAAGAGCTGTTGTTTGCTGAACGTTTGGCGATGTTGATGCCAGTGATGCTGGTGGCGCCGAGCCTTACAAAAAGAAACAACACCCCACACTTTGGGGGCCTCTCACCAAGAACGACAAGAACACACGGATCTGTCCTTGTTTTCATTTCAGAAGTCTGGGGTCATTCTTTTGACAGTCGGGGGTGATCAAAGTCAGAAAATGGAATCGGTTGATGCTACTCGGTCCAACGAAGCTATGCATCAGAGAGGGAAGCATCCACTGGCTATGGATGCGTATCTGCAATTGTGATTGCTCCACCTTTTGCCTGATGTGTTGTTTGACGTTGGTTGACTGTTGATGATCTCTGCAATGCATTTCCTGATGCTCCTGCATGTACATGTCAGTATGAGCCAGTCTATGTTTCTCTGTGTCTCTGTCTGTGTCTGTCTCCGTGCCTGTCTCCGTGTCTCTGTGTCCCTGTGTCCCTGTGTCTGGGAGGGTCTGTGTCTGTTTGTGTGCGTGTCTCTGTATCTCTTTCTGTCTCTGTTTGTCTCTTTTGTGTCTCTGCGTGTGTTCCAATACTATATCCTTCTGATGGTCCTTCGGAGCCTTTCCTCCATTCTTTTTGTTGAGCTGTGCCTCAGATTCTTGTTTGGCTCCGAACCTCCTGACCTCAAGACCTCAGGAGCAGCGAAACGAGCCGACTCTTCCGATAAACGTTCGGGGTCTGGGTTAAAAGGATGATTTCTTGGGGGACCTGTTGTGAGGGGGACCCACTGAAAGTCTGCAGAGCTCCAGACACGACTTTACGATTCCATGATGTTGGTCAAGCAAAAAAGACTGGAAAACAGATTGGATGGAAAATGTCCGACCTCGAATCCTTGAAAATGAAAAAGCATGGAACGAAGTTCCACGCCGTGTAGGATCCACATCTTAACCATGAATGAAGCAAGTGAGCAAAGCACAAAATTGTTTGTCATAGGGCTTTGAAGTTGTTCAGCAGCAGCAGCACCACCACCAAACTTTTGGAAATCCAGCGTGTTTCTTGGGGTCTTGGCCATTGTGCAATGGCCCGAGTTGTTACGCTCGCTTGCAGAATCCCTCGGCACAACTGTGGGGTTTCGTAGGCATCCTATGTTGGCATCCTATGTTGACCCCATATTAATCAGGCCCTGTTTTATTGATAAGGGGGTGTCCAAGGTTTTGGTGGCGATTCATTGGAGGGGAACACCTCCCAAAAAAAACTGGGGTTGACTTCAACATTACCCAACTTCTGACTCAGTGGCCTTCACGGCACTTTGTATTGCTCGGCAGCCACGCTCTCCAGCGACTGGTCCGCTGCAGGTAGTCGCAGGCCGTTCTCCAGATGCTCGGCTCAGCAGACATCACGTAGCTCTCCTTGGTGCAACAGCTTGTTGCGACTGTCGCCCTCTTGTTTTTGATTGGGTGTGCATGTTGACGCATTTTCCAACCAAAAATGCTACAGTTTAAAGATGCAACCAAACCATTCCACGTGGCCATCATCTCAGAAATCTCCTGCTCAGAGATGGAGATGCTAGCAGCAAGTTGATACGCTCGGTACGCTGACCGCGCCATCCCAGCAGCAGCCCACTTGGTCAACGTGATGGACTGCCGTGCTGTCTTGTATATGTATGCAAGGTGCTCCGCAGGGTTGTGAGGAGGGAAAATCACCGGGGCGGCCTTCGCGGTCGCAAACCTAACATCCTTGGCGACGCAAAACTCTCGTCAAAACGCAACTGGTTATAGTCAACTAGAGTCAAATGCAAAACCTGATTGCGGCCACAGGGTCTGGGGTCCACCAGTACACCATACTCTGCAATTCCTTGCCTAAGACCACATACTCCTCTGTGGAGGAAGCGGTAGCAAGCGCCAGGGGCAGATTGTGCCAGAATGCCTGCTGCACCAGAAGGAATATGCCCCACCCGTTGCCGCCGGTAATTACAGGAACGCAACGCTCGGGATCACTTCGGCAAGCCGGTGCTAGCCACCATTTCTCCTGCCAGCACTGCAGAAGAAGTGTGCCATTCACAGTTTTCACGCCACCCGCATCGCCGGTGACATTGAGGTATTGCTCTCCAACATAATCGTAGTGTGTGTTTACTGCCTCATCGCACGTCTGGAGTCTGGACATGTTCACGTCCGAAACTTTCGCTGTATACTTCTCCGGGTGAAACCAATCTGCCTTGCTTGGTCTTAGACCCCCAACGAAAAGTACAATGCGTTGCTGGTGAGTCCAAAAGCGTTAAAGGGTTAAAGGTCGTACCAAAGAAGAGACAAGCTGCATTGTAATTGCTGTAGTACCTCAACGACAGCCCGCTATCTTGCAAAGCCGCGTCCACCGCGTCACCAAGCACGAATAGCCCTCACGGGGTTACATAGTTGAAACGACCAGACCTTGGCCTTCAAAGCCAACCTCTTTCAAGGATGGAACTGATGGGGGTTTGAAGAACTCCTGCACCGTTCAGAAACCCTCGAATGATGCTGTCACCCGTAAATACCCACCAATGTTTTTGTTCTTTTGTTCATGGCTTCTTGGCTAATGCTTGAAGGGACTTGGTCAGGGGATTGAACATGTTCAGGGCTGTGGGGAATGACCACTTCTGTGATACAACAGAAAGGGCCTAACCCCAAAGACTATTTTGCTCATATAAAGGGGAAGGTTCCAACTTGTATCACAGAAGTGGGGAGAGAGAAACCCCGAGCGATCCATCCGCCCCAACCCTGAACATGTTCAAACCGCTTTTTCACATGGACTTTTTGGCTCGTGGCTTCTCGGCGAATGCTTCAACGGGACTTCGTCCACGGACGGAGTCAAGGCCGGCGCCTGAATTCCCGGTATACCCCACAGATCCCAGGTTCTCGGGAGCGAGGTCCCCGAGCTCCGACAAGAGCTGGGGCACGTGCTCCGCCTGGGCGGAGGCGTTTGCCATGAGATTCATGGCATTGAATCGGGGAATCCGTGAAAGGTGTATACTATGATATATATATATATATGGGTATATATAATTGTATATATAATTGTATAAATATAATTATATATATATATGTATGGCCGTGTCTTTTGCTTCAGGTGGCTTCAAAGGGCAACCAAAAGGAACCCCACCATTTTCGGGGTCCCCCCAAAAAGACACACCCATACATGGCTTCTTGGGTTCGATCAAAAGCCGGCGCCTGGCCCTGCCAGCTTTCGAAGCTGATGTGGTAGCGGCGGGGCTGGTCTCGACACGTGTCCAGATCCGCAGCACGCTCCAGGCACCCAGCGAGCATATAGATCACATCGGTGCTGGAGGACCCCTGGCAGCAAAGAAAAAAATTCCACGCCCAATGATCCGATGTCCGGTTTTTTTGCTTCGGTACCTTGTTGGCTTTGGTTTAAAGGGAAACCAAGAGGAAAACCGAGATCCATTTTGGGGTCCGCTGAATTCAAGGGAGTTCAAAACCAGTTGGCGGCACATGGTGAACGAGTGCTTGCCAAACCTTGGTCCTTTCTTTCTGTTTCAAGGCAACTAACATGCAGCCAACCATTTGGAGGGATGTCTGACTTCGCCACATTCCTCCCAACTGGCCACGGCCAACTTGACGCTCAAAGGAGGGGTGCACATGGAACCGCCACATGGGTGTGTGTGTGCGTGTGTCTTTTCATGTTTTCCGACACGGATGGCTGGTTGCCACTTCCTTCCCAAAACAGCGAAGAATAAATGAAATAAGAAAAATAAAGAAACTGTGGATGGACACAATCCTGCACCACCTAAGAAACCCTAGAATGATGATTATCCTGTAAATACCAACAAATTAAGGTTTCCCATGGCTTCAAAGCGGTGCAGGAATTCGTCCATCCACCGAATGAAACAACAAAGAAACCACTACAGGCTTGACCTTCTCTCTAATTTGAACACTTATGGATTCGCAAAGATTACTTCATCCAAAGCCGAAACTCCATACTTCCTAAGCCAATGAGTCTACAAAGGACCAGCCGCGCCAAAAAGCAAACCAACCCAACCCAGCCAACCAACCAACCAACCAACCAAACCAACCAAACAAACCAAAAGAACAAACCCAAAAAACAGCAGCAAGCCAAGCAAACCAAACGAACCAAACAAACCAAACCGAACAAACCAAGCGAACAAACCAAACCAAACAAACCAAGAGAACAAACCCAAAAACAGCAGCAAGTCAAACAAACCAAACGAACCAAACCAAACAACCAAGCGAACAAACCTAAAAAAAGCAGCAAACCCAACAAACCAAACCAACCAAACCTAACAAACCAAACAATCCAAACCAAACAAACCAAGCGAACAAACCCAAAAAAAAAGAAGCAAGCCCAGCAAACCCAGCAAACCCAACAAACCAAACCAACCAAACCTAACAAACCAAGCCAAACAAACCATGCGAACAAACCACACAAACCAAGCAAACAAACCAAGCAAAAAACAAACCTAAAAAAGCAGCAAACCCAGCAAACCCAACAAACCAAACCAAACAATCTAAACAATCCCAAACCAAACAAACCAAGCGAACAAACCAAGCCAACAAACCTAAAAAAGCAGCAAACCCAGCAAATCCAACAAACCAAACCAAACAATCCAAACATTCCAAACCAAACAAACCAAGCGAACAAACCAAACCAAACAATCCAAACAATCCCAAACCAGACAAACCAAGCGAACAACCCTGAAAAAGAATCTTAAAAGCCAACCAAAGCTTCCACCACCACGGCTTTGACCTCCGTCCGGCTCCTTGCCGGGCTCCGCCACGTTGTAGCCCAGCCGCTCCGCCGCCAAGATCTCGAAGATCTGGCGCCCAGACCGAGTGCCCCGAAACGAAAATCGCGGGGTGTGGGCAAAAACGGACAAGCACCAAGGCATGATTAGATTTTGGCCCAGTGATAGAATGTATATATTTTATTGTTTGCTTCACATGGAGTCACTGGTAAAATGTTTGTTTTTTGTATCCTAAGTCTACCCCAAAAAGCTGGAGAGGCGGTTTCCCAATGGCCCCCAAGAACCAGGGTGCCAGGGTACCAATCCAAGGAATTGGAACCTGATCAAGGGTGGATGAAACCTTTGGAAACGCAAGGAACAGATACCTAGAAACACACCTTGAGGCTTATGAGGACCCAGATGAAATCAACTCCTGGTTGATGCTGATTTGGGTGTTGCAACTTATTGTGGATGGAATCCGGATCATTTTTGGGAGAGCTGCACACCCATCCGGGTAGAGCCAAACGCAAAGTATTACGGGGTATCTTCTGCCAGTGGCATCTGGGATCCATCTGAGAGGACCACTTCGCGCCCTTAGAATCCTACAAGTGAAAGACCACTCCCAGAGCCGTCCAGAGCCGTATACAGTGGATGGACGAAATCCATTTCGCACCACCGAAGAAACCATGAGAAACCATTGTTTGTTGGTATTTACAGGCGAATCATCATTTCAGGGTTTCTTAGGTGGTGCGAAATGGAGTTCGTCCATCCACTGTATCTCAAACGTGCAAGCCTGCAGGGTGAAAGCCCCCGCTGGCGTGCTCCGCTACACCGCCCGAGCGCAAAACTGAATCCCTGCCAGTCGCTTAAGGATGATCAACATTAACATGCTTATTTGGAGGCAGTTGTCGGAGTTGTTTTCAAGGGCAAGCAGGGTGAGTTTTCTCTTGGGGTGATGATTGAGGACAACTCGAGGTCTCTTACAATGGCTTTCAAATCCAATATTGAACCCCCTCAAAAGCGGTTGGTGCACCTCAAGAAATTGTCCGAGCGGCTCCACTGACAGACCACATGTGGCTTGGCTTTGAGAAAAACAGATGCGGCTTGCCCCAAAACGAGGCTCCGGGGTTCTTTCTGAATTTCCGGAGTTGGACCCGAAAGATGCGCAGTTCCACAGCTCCACAACCTCTGGAAGTGCACCTTTTGGGGTCCAATAGATGTGTAGAGTGCCACAAACATGGACGCAGCAATGGGCATGACAGAAGCTTCAGGTTGCGCGAGGTACAAACTAAAAAAGGCAAAGGTGGCCTGGGTAGAAGTGACCTCGAGCTGGGCTTTTGAGGGGAGAAGCGAGCTTAGAGGTTCTCCTGTGAGCCAATCCTCTCAACCCATCAAAAGCTCCAGAAACAGCAAGGGACAAAGCGTGAGCCCATTCCAATCCGCCGATCAGGTTCACACCTCCCAGAAGCCCAAAGCCAATCAGCCCCGGAACCAAAATTCACTTGGCTTTTCGCGACAAACCACGAAAAAAAAAATGGTCCGACGAAAGAAACAAAAACAAAAACAAGAGGAGGCGATGGTCAACTCATGCGCCGGTTTCGAAACGGGGCAGAAAAGGCATGTTCCAAAGGCCCACCTGGGGAAATCACCTCAAAATGGACCAAACTTTTGCCAGTCCTCCAACATCTGTTCAAAGGGTCTCAAATCCCACTGCTGGCTCAAAACTCCAAACCCTTGCAAATATATACAAGGCGAAAGGCTGGAAAGCACGGGAAATGTAGATGTGTGTTTGTGTGGTGTTTGTTGCATGAGGGGAAATCTAGTTGAACCAGGATTCGCCCAACTCACGTTGCTTTCCGTGATGTGCCAGTACAGACAAACACAAGCATAAAATCATGGTCTCTCTTGTAATGTTGACGTGGCTTTTGCCAAAATGCCAAAGCTTTGGTGACCTTGAGTGGATTCTAAAAGTTGGCTACACACATGACTGTTACAAGCCAAAGCCGCCCCCTCGAAACATGTCCAGGGCCCCTTGGGAAACACCAACATAGGTTTGTCTCCAAGCAAGGAAAAACTAACAAGAAACAAAAAGAGAAAAACAAACAAGAATCAAAAAGAGAAGAAAAAAAAGAAGGGGGGGAAAAAAGAGAAGAAAAAACGGCTGTGGCTTTCCAACTCTTATAAGGGGCCGAGCAACCTCAAAGGGTCGGGACCAAAGAAACCAAAATTGGGAACCCTTCAAGTGGCAGCGCTTCCTCGCTTTGCTTCTGCGGCCATCCCACCAAACGCGCTGAGGAAAAAAATGCATGTTTATATTTGTTTTTCTTGGGGCACAAAGGATTTGCCTTTGTGCCAATCCCAATTGCCAACCCCAATACCCGATTTTGACCACAAGCACGTCCCAGGAAACCCAAAGCCACCCATTTCAGGGTGTCTTTTTTGTGGGTCATCGCCTTCATCCGTAGCTGCCTATGGCAAGCTCACCCGAATCGGTGGGCTGCGGGAACGATCTCACGGTCCCTTGCATCTCTTACTTCAGGTTTCGGAGTCAAACATCCCAGGTCCAAACCGTGGGTCTGACCACCAAAATCGAAGCCTTCCCGGCTCCGTCCAGATTTCCCCTTTCAACATCACCCCAAAAAAATACCCGCCGATCAACGGGCCAAAACGGTCCTGTTTAAAAACAAAGAAGGAAATATGGCCATGGGTCAAAACCCAAATCGTACCCCCAGTGAACATCCCAATCCCCACTACCCCAAAATGGTACCATTGGTTTTGACCCACAGCCATACTTTAGGGGTTGAGGGCTTTTTTTTAAACTAGCCCCGGCTTTTTACTAGCCCCGGCTCGGCACAAGGCCACTATTTTAGGACCCAGTCAAAAAAAAATCCCAGTTCCGAGCTTCACCGTCTTCGCTTCCGCCTGGCTGGTGATCAGCGCGCTGTCCCAGTCCAGTCGCCAGGTGCGCAGCGGCACAAGCTGGTCGTCCACCCACACGTCGCTGCGCCGCTCTGGGGGAATCCCATCCTCGGCCGCATTGTTGTTTGTTGTTGTTTTTCCTTTCTGCAACTCGTTCCCTCCCTAAGAGAAAAGTACCCAGCTGCCATCTCGGGGACTAGAAAGTAGACAAACCTGGAAATAACAATGAAACGTTTTCGGCCGGGACGTCAACTTGCTTGCGAGCATCGGAGAAGCAAAGCTCAGCTATGCATGTATTTAGGCAGAGAACACAAAGCCGCGCCAAACGCATCAGTTGCTCCTACTCAGTTCCTGTACTTTTTGTACAGGAATCACATCTTCGAGCCCAAATGCAACATGTCCGGAGCACGTGACACGCTGAGGGAAATAAAATATTGTTCACAAACTGTGCTGTGGTATTGATCACAGCCTCTGCAAACTCTAGTCTGCAAGATAGATCATGTTTTGGATGCATCCAACGTGCACCAGGCATGCGCGGCATGCAAATCATGTGCTGCGCTACACCAATGCACGTCCACACTCACTGCTTCCCAAAGCATGAATCTTGAAACTGGTTACACGCCCACCACGATTATCTGCTGCGCTAGTTGGTTTCACTGCTGTTTGTTTGCATGAAACTACGAAACACGTGCTTAGCCATTCAATGCGATCTGCTTTTCCTGATGCCAACTTGACCAGCGATGTCTCCCACACCAAGAAAACAAATGAGCACGCTGTATAAATCGAACAGAAACAAACATGGAGCGTGTCATAGTGACGAAGTTGGGACTCCGTGAAAATATGAGATTCCGCGGAGGTGAGAATCGATTGAAAGACCTGGAGATCAACATGCAATTTGCGTTTGATTGAGATATGTGTTCGTTGAAAAGGGGCCAGCGCCTTGGCTGTCCCCGTTGCCTGAGAGAGTTGATATCGAGTATCAGGTATACTGCATGGGAAGACTGCGCCGAGTGCACAGTTACTAGTTGAGATTTGTCAGGGTCGAGGGCCAGGCCAGATCTAAACGCAACATGCTCCCCCTTGGGAAATGCAGAGCGTCTGTTCGTCGCCCGCGGAAGCACGGAAGCACTTCCACTGCACGCAGCGAGACCGCCTGTTTGCGCGCGCAGTTGATGTATGGCATGTACATCTTGGCTTCAGACTTGCCGTAGAGAAAGGGCCTGCTGCGCTTGCTCCCGGAGTGCTACGCTTGCGACGCATATTTCAGGGGAGCCCATGCCGCCCGCAAGAATGGGGTAGCTTCTTTGCAGGTTTGAGTTGCCCCCAAATAATGTCACGCTGGAGCAAACTGCTAAAACTGCGTGTGCGCGTTTCTGCGCGCGCTGACTCTGACCGCGTTTTTGGCGGGCAGTGCGGCAATTACCTGCGGAGGACTTGCAGCTTTTGATAATCTGCCAAAAAGACAAACATCCAGAACGGCAAAGCCTTGAAAAGGCAGAGTAGGGTTGGGAGGGCGGGTTTCAAACGAAACAAGGACAGCAAGTCCTTGAGTACGAGTTTAAGGCTAGAAGCAGAAACTGGTCGCAGCGCAAAAGATTCACAACAGGCCTAAAACACAAGGGAACAAACAACCCTAAGCGTTAAATAAAGGCCTGTTGCCTACAACCCCCCAACAAAGCCGAACGACAAGGACGCACACCTTTTTGACGGGTTGCTTGGAAGGTCGCACAGTGACAAAGTGAGCGTTAGAATCTTGATCACTGCTTCAATCCGAAAGGGAACATGCGGCAAAAGATAAAAAAGTACGACCGACAAACATGTGCGCATGCTCTTTTTCTTTATAAGGCGTTGCTTGGAAGTTAAGGCTCGGGGGTGCAAGGGGGAAAGACAGCGCGTGTCCTTTCCCCGTGTCTGCACCCCTCTGCGGAGCCTTCTCAAATGCCCCCGTGGTCAACAATGAGTAGTAAGGAACATAGGCCTATAGCACCCTAATTATTTTCGTTTTTGGGTCGAAAAACCATGCAAAACAGCCAAATTCTCCATCCTGATGAACGTTTTTCCGATGTCACCGGTCTTTGTCACCGCTCCGTTTTTGGTCGAAAAAGTGCTCAAAACGGCCAACTTCCCGAATTCCCGAAAAGCTCGTTTTTTCCTGTCAGACGGCAAGCGAGGTGCCTCAGCCTCTAGATTTGCTCGGTTTCGGTCGAAAACAGGCTCCAGACGCGCACGCTGCTCTCGATTTCCGTTTTCTGCCCGGAAAAGCTGGCAAGTTCCATCCCGCTGAGCTTGTCACCACTTGTCACCGCTACGTCACCGCTCTCTTTTGGACCGAAAAAGTGCGCAAAAACGGCCAAGTTCCCGACTTCCCGAAGACTTCGTTCTTCACAGGATTTTCCGTCTTTCGGCCTGCCGAGGCCCTCGCTCGTGACCCGGCAACCTGCCGAACTTGTCACCGCCCTCGCCACCGGGTCTAACGCGCCAACCTGAACGTCCTTGTCGCCAGGGCTAACACGCCAACCTGCCGAACGTCTTCGTCGCCGGGTCTAACGCGCCAACCTGGCGAACGTCCAGAGGGCTCGAAATCTTGGCAAGTTTGAGTCAATATTGAATCGGCTTGAAACAATATTGGTTCATTAATGGGCAAAGGCTACCCGGTCGCAGGCGGGATTCGAGCCCCAGACCAGGGTGGTGCAGAGACAGCGCTTTATCCACTGAGAGCTTCTTTTCTGGAGAACGCAGCCGGCCGATCTTGCTTGTCACCGGGGCGCTTTTGGGTGGAAAAAGCAAGCATTACATAGCAGCGGAGGAAATATCATCCACTGCTACGCCACCGAGGTCTCCCACGGTTTGTGTCACCCCGTGACACAAGCTTTCGCAATCCTCCGCGGCTTCGGTCTAAAAGCGAGGCCGGCTCCGCGGCTTCGGTCTAAAAGCGAGGCCGGCTCCGGCTTCGGTCTAAAAGCGAGGCCGGAATTCTTTCCACCGAGGTCGGAATTCCGATTTCGCTCTCTGTCCTATATCATAACTATGCGCGCAACGCATAGTTGGATATAGCAAGGACCGGGGGACTGTGAGGCGTCCTCTAAAGACCCGCCACTTGAAGGCCCCTTGCGCGTAGGGCGTCACCTCTCCGTTGTCCAGGACCTCCGGGATGTTGCCCGTGACAGGTCCTGGAGTGAGGAAAGTTGCTACGCACTGGTAGCGCCCTTGCAATTTCGCAACCCCTTGAGTCGCTTTGGACCAGGAAGCAATTGATGGAAAATATCCTTCAATTCAAGTTCCCGGGTCCAGGTCGTGATACCCCTGACCTGCGCACGACGCTCGAAATTTTTGGGACAAATTGCCGAAAATTTCGTCCAGGTTTGCAGAAGGAGGAGGCCGGGCAGACTGGCCGTGAACACGGCAGCGTCCGGCAACAACACGGCCGCCATCCAGTCCCTGGACGACCGAGTCACCGCAGAGCTGGCCTCGAAGCTGGACAGCAGCGGCAGCAGCCCTGGCCACCACAGACGGGCAGGTGGCTGCGCACGGAAGCAGCATTGCAGCGCTGCTCGGAGGTGGACTCTAAGATAGCAGCCGCCCTCCTGGACGCAGTCACCACGGCAGTCGCAAGCGCGCTGGCCGCCCTGCTCTCCACGGTGGACGGGCTGGACACGCCACGAACGAGGCCTTCGTCGCAGCGCAGCTTGCTAGCCGGGATGCCAGCATCTCGGCGCTCCAGGCCAAGGCCGACACGACGCTGCTGGCCTCGTACGCCACCGCTCTCAGTTAGCGAGACCACGCTCCAGAGCGCCCTCGACGCAATCCTCGCGGAGCTCGCCGCCCTGCAGCTTTCCGGCAGCGGCGGAGTTGTTAACGCGCCGGCCTGGGCGGGCTTCACGACTTGGGAGCTCGTTCGCGGAAGCAACGTCGTTCGCAACCTGCATCTGGAGGCTCCTCTCTCGGCTGCGCTGGCCAACGGCGACGACACGCTGAACATCAGACTGCTACTCCATCGCGGCGGCGGACGCGGCCCTCGCGGCCGCGCTGCTGGCCTACTACACCTCGGCGCAAGTGGACGCGCTGTTGGTCAACTACCGAACGGGGACGGCGCAGGACGCCGAAACGACCAGCGCCATCTTGGCTGCGCTGCTGACCTACTACACCTCGGCGCAAGTGGGCGCCCTGTTGGCCGACTACCGCGCAGGACACGCAGACGCAGGCAGCCAGGCGACGTGTCCACGGGCGCCACGCTGACGATCGCTGGGCGGCCTCCGTGGGCCCGCTGGACTGCGAGAGCCTGGACTGCACCTTCACGCCACGAGCGGCGGAGTGTCGACAAAAAGCGTGGTCTGCGGCGACGTGACTAGCTCGGGCACGGTCTCCGCCCCGCAGCTCTCCGCGTCCAATACGCTTGCCGTGACCAACACCTCCGACTTCTCGGACGATATCTTTTTGACGAAGAACTGGGCGGGCTGGAGCAAGCTGCAGATTTCCAACAACAGCGCGGCCTCCGACAGCGGCCCGGAGCTGCGGCTGCTGGGCAACCAGAGCGCGCAGGTCTTCCTGAGCGGGACGGCGGGGCGCACCAGTGCGAGCTCATCATGATCAACGACAAGGCGCTGGTGCAGACGAAGAGCCTCTCGATGCAGATGCAGCTGTCTGACCACGAACCAGAAAAACCCCGGCTGCCTCGCGATCGCCGGCAACACAGGCAACGTGGCAAGCTTCACCAACTTGACGGACAGCAAAGTGAAGACGGAGACGGTCGAGGCCGACGTGGCAGAGCTGCTGCAGCTCTTCGACTCCGTGGAGGCCAAGCAGTACAAGAGTGGAAGAATGACGGGGACCCCTGGTTCACCCGGAGGCCGTCCAGAAACGCCTTCACTTCCTCTCTGGAGCTGGGGTCGCGTGCTGCAGTGTCTGCGCTATGCTGCCGAAGCCGGTGCGGGGCGTAGACGGCCTTGATGGTTCGTCTGCGGGCGTCAGCCATGTTTCTTATGGGTGGGCCTGGCCGCACGAAGGCCTTGGGGGCAAGCCCTACGCCTTCATGCTGGTGCCATCGATGCGCTGACCTCGTGCCAATGTCGAAGACCACGGGTTTCCTCCAATAGCTGAAGCCCAAGCTCCTGCGTAGCTTGGCAAAACGAGTTCGATATAGCCTCACACGAACGGCGCAAAAAAGTGGGCGCCGCTCAAGAACCGTCTTGCGACGACCACCACTGTGGCGAGCATGAAGAAGGTGTTCCAAACCCATCAAGGAGGCTATGAGCGGCCGGAGCGGGCCGGCGGGGGCAGTGGCACCTCATGCCCGACGTCTTGAACCTGTCAAGAGACGGCAAGGTGACGTCCCGTGGGACGCTATGCACCGAACCCTCAAGCTGTAATACCAACCACGTAG